GATCGGGTCTTGGATCTGCACCAGTCTAGCAGCATCTGTTTGATGGAGTTTGCGTTGGGGACACCGAAGCTGGTAGAGCGCTGAACCCTGTTCACCTGAGCAATAGCCAAGTTACTGCAGACAGAAGGATGAACATTAGATGGAGCTTCTGTCGGATACCTAACATTAGCTTGTTTCCATTAGGGCTGCACGATATTGGCAAAAATTAGACATTGCGATATTTTATTTTACTACGATATACAGCTGAAGTCAGAAACATTCGCCCTCCTGTATATTTTTTCCCCAATTTCTGTTTAACGGAGAGAAGATTTGATTCAACACATTTCTAAACAGTTTTAGTTTTATAAGTTTTAATAACTCATCTCTAATAACTGATTTATTTTCTCTTTGTCATGATGACAGTAAATAATATTTGACTTGATATTTCTTCAAGACACTTCTATATAGCTTAAAGTGACATTTAAGGGCTTAACTAGGTTAATAAGGTTAACTAGGCAGGTTAGGGTAATCAGGCAAGTTATTGTATAACGATGGTTTGTTGACTTTGTTCTGTAGACTTTCGAAAAAAATTACATAGCTTAAAGGGGCTATACATTTTGACCTTAAAATGTTTTTATTCTAGCCAAAATAAAACAAATAAGACTTTCTCCAGAAGACTGTAATGTTGCATATAAGTACATATAAATACATATTTATTATATATGTAAAATACAAACATGAACTTGTATAATATATTTGCATATATTGTCATATTTTATTGTAAAGTATTACCGTATGGTGATGATAGCTATTACTTTATGTATTCATGTATTTGTATCATATTTACCTTCAGTTTCTTGCCTTAATAACACTATATGTATCTGTGAATCCTGAAGCTGGATGCGTTTCACACACCGCTGCCTGCTTTGTCCAACAAATGAAGCTGAAATGAAATTACTGGCATAATTAGAGGATATGTTTTCTCTGTTTTAAACCAATAAACGTCTTTATGGGTTGGTCTGAGAATTTCAAATCATTAGTGTTTCAATTACAGTGGATTATTAGAGGAAATTACTCGTTTGGGCGATTATTAGAGGACAGATCGAGTCAGCTTGACTTGTGCAAAGCAAATATGAAGGGAAAATCTGTTTATTTAGCCCTTTTCTCTCCTCTTTTTCCTTCCAGCTCAAGTTCCTGATAATGACGAGCAGTTTGTTCCAGACTTTCAGAGTGAAAACTGTAAGTTTGAGCTTTTTCTTTTTATTTAATAGATGTATTTATATTATATTTTTGGTAATTCTTTATAATAAGGTTTTCGGTCAACTATATACTTGCTAATCTGTTCAGCAAAGATGCACTGCATTAATACAAAATGACAGTAAAAATGTTTAAAATGTTTAGAAAATCTTATTTCCAACTTTTTATTCATCATAGAAAAAATAGTTAATATTATTTATTTATTACTAAAGCTGAGTTATAATGAGCTGTTGAAGTTTTTATTATTTTTTTTTTATATTTTGTGTGAAAGTAACTTACAGTAAAACACTAACAGTAATGTAACTATTCAATTCAACTAACAGGACTAGATTGTATATTGACTATAATATACAATATAATATGTTGTCATTGTGCAGAGATGCATTCAGTTTAAAAAAATTGACTGTAATGTTTCAACATATACATATTATAAGCAATTTGTGATTAAAAACAAAAAACATTCAAACATGTCATATCGAAGATTAACAATCATAACGATGATAAAGTTTTTGTCTTGTTTCTAGTCCAAATATAAAAAAATTCTTCAATCAAGATGCAATTCTTTAGAGAATTAAAAATATAAATATTGTTTAGTTTCTTTCTCCAGAAGTAATGAGTCAAGTTATGTGAGATTTTACTTAAAACAAGTAAAATAATCTTTCCAGAGGGATAAGCATAATAAAAGTGTGTTGATATTAGATCAGAGATTAGAGATTAGTACCGATTTTTCCACCACCGAAAATGTTTCGGCCAAAAATGTTCTGTCATTTAATGGACCCTAATTTTTGTGAATTTAGTCATTGTTTGGGTACTCTTTTAAATCTGGAAGCATTAATAACTCATATATTAATATTGGAATATATATTATTATCGTTCAATATGGAAAATAATTATCAAGATTGCATTTTACCATATCGCCCAGCCCTACTGTTACTGTAAACTTTTATGTCCCCTTTCTGTAGCGTAATAGATTTACAACGTTTACAGTTGAAGTCGGAATTTTTAGCCCCCTTTGATTTTTTTCTTCTTTTTTAAATATTTCCTTAATAATGTTTAACAGAGCAAGGAAATTTTCACAGTATGTCTAATAATATTTTTTTCTTTTGGAGAAAATCTTATTTGTTTTATTTTGGCTAGAATAAAAGCAGTTTTAAATTTTTTTAAATTCATTTTAGGGTCAAAATGATTAGCCCCTTTAAGCTATTTTTTTTTTTTTCAATCGTCTACAGAACAAACCATCGTTATACAATAACTTGCCTAATTACCCTAACCTGCCTAGTTAACCTAATCAACCTAGTTAAGCATTTAAATGTCACTTTAAGCTGTATAGAAGTGTCTTGAGAAATATCAAGTCAAATAATATTTACTGTCATCATGACAAATATAAAATAAATCAGTTATTATAAATGAGTTAATAAAACTTTTATGTTTAGAAATGTGTTGAAAAAACTGCTCTCCATTAAACAGTATTTGGGGGGAAAAAACTAAACAGGGGGGCTAATAACTCAGGGGGCTAAAAATTCTGACTTCAACTGTATATCATACCACACACTTACGACATTAAACAACATTAATAGTACTAAAAACTATGGCTACCTCTTCCCATTAAAATTCAGCAAAGCAATCGCACAAGGAACAAATGAAAATTGTAATCTGCCAAAGGGACCCTATATCGAGAACCTGAGCGAAGGATTTGAAATGAATCAAAAGGAGTAGGGGATATATCAGATGTAATCTGATGAGCTTTTGTAAACCCCCGGTATAAATTTCTTATATTTGATTGATTATTTTACTTAGCCCATGCACTGGCAGATAATTTAGCTTGCTTAACATAAAATATCACTTAATTTTGACATTATTTCTGAAAACAAAAGTATTTGTTTTCTACAAAATGCTTCCTGATTTAAGCATTTTTGTACAATTGGACTAGAATCAAGACACAAACTGGAGCTTATACCCCAAACCTGACTACTAAACCCCCTGAAATCTGATGATTTAGCATGAAAGTTAGCCAAACGAAGCTCTAGTGTAGGTCGTTTTCTGTGAATAAAGCGCGAGCGGCGTGTGTCCTCTGGGTTGTGTACCTTTCTCAGCGAGTGCAGCCAGAAGCAATAGGCCTTTAAATGGGCATAGGAAGTAAAGTTGGCGCGCGCTGCTCGTGCCAGAGCCGGTGCCAGTGTCGGAAGTGGCATGGACTGAATGAGGCACAGTGGGCAGCGAGTCCAGCTTATGTCTTAAAGAGGAGCCAAAACAGATGAAGGGGGGCTCTGTCTTTCTGGAGAACTCCTGCTCATTAACAAATCAAATATACTAGTGTTTGCTGATAATGGACTGGTGTGTTGTGTTGGCTGCGTATTGTGTATGTAAACTTGGATGAATGTGGAACGCAGTGTTTGTGTTGTAATGTGAGAGTGTGTTGTAGGTTTTGAACGGTATATGTAAGGAAAAGTGGGGAAGCGGCGGGGTGTTTTTTGGCATTGTCGGAGGGATGAGGGACAGGCAGATGGAGGGAGAGCGAGGGCACAGTGGATGGGCTCTTTAACGGGCATCCTGGCCCTCACATATGGGTTTAAAGCGACAATGCCAGTGGATCACTTCCGTTTCATGTGGTCCATTCGCATTAAATAAAAACAACATCCTGAAATTGATATCCAGAGAAAACATGAGCAGGAAAAAAAATGAAACTGATGCATGTTAGATGTGTGTTTATGAAAATGTTTATATTTATCAATATATTTTATTAATGTTTTTATTTTATATGTACAGTTGAAGTCAGAATTATTAGCCCTGTTTATTTTTCCCCCCAATTTCTGTTTAACGGAGAGAAGCTTTTGTTTTTTTCAACACATTTCTAAACATAATAGTTTTAATAACTCATCTATAATAACTACTTTATTTTATCTTTGCCATGATGACAGTAAATAATATTATTATTAATATAATTAATATAATTATTATTAGTACTGATATTTGACTAGACATTTTTCAAGACACTTCTATACAGCTTGAAGTGACATTTAAAAACTTAACTAGGTTAACTAGGCAGATTAGGGTAATTAGGCAAGTTATTGTATAATGATGGTTTGTTCTGCAGACTATCTAAAAAATAAATATAGCTTAAATGGGCTAAAAATATTGAACTTAAAATGGTTTTTAAAAAATTGAAAACTGGTTTTATTCTAGCCGAAATAAAACAAATAAGACTTTCTCCAGAAGAAAAAATATTATCAGACATACTGTGAAAATTTCCTTGCTCTGTTAAACATCATTTAGGAAATATTTAAAAAAGAAGAAAAAAAAGTAAATGGGGTTTAATCATGATTTCAACTGTATTTGTGTATGTTGGTATTATTATTATAATTATAGATATTATTTATTTTGAAAAAGTAAAGAAAAAAGCACAGAAAAAGCAAATAAAAAAAATCATTACAATATGAGTTTGGTAACCATACATCTTTAGGAATAAAAATATATAAAATTAAATAAGTTATTGCATAAAATAAATAAATAAATAAAAAGTTTCAACAAAATGTTTTCTCTTGATTTTTCCTGTTTACTGAAATATTTTTCTCCCTAATATATTTATTTGGGTGTACTCATTTTAGACTCAATTTTGACACTGACTAATCTATTGTAAATAAAATTGTATATTATTATAAAGCATCCTATAGAAAATCTTTATTTAAAAGAGGGGTCTGTCAGATGAGTACTCATTTATGCTGAGAACTATATACAGTTGAAGTCAGAGTTATTAGCCCAGCTGAATTATTAGCCTCTCCTGTTTATTTTTTCCCCAATTTCTGTTTAACAAGATAGCAGATTTTTTTCAACACATTTCTAAACATAATAGTTTTAATAACTCATCTCTAATAACTGATTTTTTTTATCTTTGTCATGATGAAAGTAGTTAATATTTTACTGGATATATTTCAAGACACTTCTCTACAGCTTAAAGTGTCATTTAAAGGCTTAACTAGGTTAATTATTTTAACTAGCCAGGTTAGGGTAATTAGGGATTTTCAGTAGACTATCAAAAAGAAATATAGCTTGAAGGGACTAATAAATTTGTTCCTAAAATGGTTCATAAAAAATTTAAAACTGATTTTATCCTAGCCGAAATAAAACAAATAAGACTTTCTCTAGAAGAAAAAATATTATCAGACATACTGCAAACATTTCCTTGCTCTGTTAAACATAATTTGGGAAATATTTAAAAAAGTAAAAAAATTCAAAGGGGGTTTAATAATTCTGACTTCAACTGTACATATATATAATTAGAAAATTATCATTTTAAATTGTAATAATTTTCAACAGTGTACTGTATTTTTTCTTTAATAAATGTTGCCTTGTATAGCATTAGAACATTGAAGAGAATGTCTGCTGTGTAGGAGGGAAAAAAAGAGAAATATATCAGTTGTAACACTAATAAGACAGTGAGTGTAGAAGTGTGATCAAACAGTGGTTATATTTAAGTTCTTTGCTCTTTTGTAAAGGCCATCGTCATTCAGGCCCACAGTGTTTAAGAGGAAGGTGCGACTGAATCTATTATCAGTGAGTAACAGTCAGTCAAGAGGTGAGAGTGAGAACCAGAGAAGAGCGAGAAGAAAAAAAGCACCACCATCAGCACTGGTGGAAAAAAAAAAACACTTACAAACACCTTTTTTAAACCATATGGTAAAATAAATATATATATGTATTATACCATATGGTAAAATAAATATATATATGTATATGTATATATATATATATATATATATATATATATATATATA